ATGCTGGTTCCTTTACCTAGTGTCTCTGGCTACTTTCAAAGTACGAAGGCAGCGTGAGTAGTTTCCCAGGTCTCTATGGCTCACCAGAAAGATTTACTTTCTGGCCTTTTACAGAAAAAATTTGCCAATCTTTGATGTAAACTAAAGAATGGAGATATATGAATATTCTTTTTTTTTTTTTTATCAGTGGTATAATTCTGTGTTAGCCATTTGCTCAGTCTTCCTGAGCAGCAAGGAGACGATATATGAGTATTCTTACCTTCATTACAATAATCCCTAAACTTTAGTCACAGATTAACTGGGCCTTAAAGATCCAAGAGAAAACATGACTAGAGATTGGCAAACAAGCATGTCATTATTTTTTAAAACTTGCTACATTTAGGGCAATATGACTAAAAGTTAATGAAAAGCATTTTCTCTCCCGCTACTGTTGTTCTGGCCCATGAAGTAAAACACAATGCTGAAGTCGGTCAGTATTCTTTAGGTTGTATGTGATAGAAAAGAATCTCAAACTTGCTTAAGAAAAAAAAAAAAAGGAGGGAGATTTATTGGCAAGTAAAATCAAAGGTAGTCAGAACCTGGAAATTTGGACACCATTCACTTTCTTTATGACTTTGTCTCCCTCCGTTTCCCACCTTTCCCCCTTACCCTCTAGGCCCCGGTCTGTGTTGGCTTTGTTTTTCCTTCTTGCAACTGGGTTTTCTCCATGTCATGAGTGCGACTCCTGGCAGCTCCAGATGCCCATCTCATGTCATCACCAGAGCAGCCAGAGAGCATTTCTTTTATCCAGTCTCAGTATAGAAATCTCCAAAGATGGAGTGCAATGATTGGTTTGGGGTCTACTCCTGTGGTTAAAGGGTTAGACCTTTCTAAGAGGAGAGGAAGTGGTGTGCAGACAAAAGGACAACCACTGTATGAACTCATAGCCTGCCCGACCACACAAACTGGCCCTCCCACAACAATCACAAGACCTGAGAACATTCTAAGGGGATATTGCACATATTCCTCAGCTTTAGGCAGGCCTCTCGTGAATCGTAATTGATTATTTAATATATTCTGATTTGAAAAAACCTGTCTAGATTTCACAGCTCCATTCACCTGTATCTCGGGAACTTCTTTATTCCTCAGGTTACACTGATGCTTCAAAGAAGGCAGATGTATATCTTCCTATATATCTTCCTTTGACCATATCTTTCTCAGGTTGGATAATTCTTATTCCTCGGTTTCTCCTCGAAACCCTACAGCTGAGACTTCACTCATTTTATTTTTACTTCTATTAATCTGTTTTTGCAAAATTTAAAACACATCTTCTTAATATATGAAATTCAGAATGACTCTGGTTAACAATCCAATAACCCTGGCCATATTTGGAATTAACATCAGAATCAGATTCGTCTGGGAAGGAATTATAGCTCTGTCACCATGATCTTGAAAAAAATCAATATTCCCATTTTACAGATGAGGACTTTAAGACAGTGTTTGGGATACAACAATAAACAAGAGAAATAAGGTCTCCACCCTCACAGAACACATATGTTAAGGAGAGTATAGATAAGTTCATAGTCATTTCCATACACTGTGATAAGTACTACGATAGGAAATATGGGATAATACAGAGAGACATACAGAGGGTATGGAAACTACACTGGGGGTAGGTGGGTGGTGGTGAGAGGTAGACCCTTCCCAGGGGAATTGGTATCTAAGGTGAGACCTAGAGCAATGGAGAGAAGAACAAATCATATTTCTAGGGAGAGTAGGTAGCAAATTTATCATGACACAAGAGAGCATGATGATTTAAAGTAACTGAATGTTAGTCAAGTATTAGTCAGGAATATTCAAATGGCAAGTGACAGAAATCCTTTTCTAACTAGCTCAAATGAAAAAGTAGAATTTATTGGCTCATTAATCAACCCATCAGTGCACTTGGCTGGCATCAGGGATGGAAAGATAGAGAGACTGAAAAAACACATCTCTGTCTTTGCCTTTTGCTTGTCTTTGTGGGTTAGGTCATATGTTCTCTACTTCTAGAGATCATTTCTCCACACAACTGAGAAAATAGACTCGATCTGCCCTGTATTTACAACCCAGCAGCTTTGCCATTGGAGAAGAGAGGTTCTACTTTCCATTTGCTCCAGACTGAAAAAATGTCAATAATTGCATGGGGTCTGAGACTTTACTCACCTTACAAGCTATCTAGTTAGCCTGCCATAGCTTTATGGATGCTGGTAGAAGACTCTCAACTGCAGGCTCAGAGATCAATATTTCTCATGGCTCAGCAGGCAATGTGAGCTTCATGTTCACCTTAGTTCCCCTTTCATCCCCAAGTGTCACAGGGAAAATGAGGGGCATCCCAGGTGGATGTTGCACAACAGTGGGCTTGTGTCACAGCTGAGGATGCCTGACCTTAGGAAATTCTCAGTCTTAGAAACTGCTAGCAAACCTGTCCCAGCTTTGCCCCGCCACAGACATTATCATTATTATCTTGCTCAGGGAACAAATATGCCCTCTGACCCAGAGGGAGATACTAGCTTTAACTTTTGTTTGCTAGGCAAGTACCTTTGAAAAGATAATCCAAGAGAAAAGCTGTCACAAGGTGTATAGAAACACTATGGAGAATTGCCCTGCAACAAAAATCCCAGGGAAGAAATCAAATTGGTGTGTCTTCGGCCATGTGCCCAATCTTGCATCAAGCACTTTGCGTAAGGAGATGGGGTAGCAGTATTGGCTCTGCTAAAGTCAACTTCCCATCCAAGAACAGGGGTCAAGGTCAGTTACTAAGATATTAGGAGAAGTGTGCTTGACAAAGATGAGTCACATTTATTATGATTCAGTTTAGAGTGGAAATTATGAAGATAAAGAGGTTAGATGAGACTAGATCATGAAGAATTATGTAGGTCACATTTAGAAGTTTAGAATTTGTCCTATGTGCAATAGCAATTGTATTAAACCATTATATAATGGGGTAGTGTAATGTTATCTTTAAAAAGAACACACTAGCAGATTATAAGAATAGGAGAGAATAAATGAGAAGTTAGGGGACTGTTATAATAGTCCAGGTAAAAGATAACAGAGGCCTGAACCAGGATAGCAAGGGTGGAGAGAAACGGGCAAATTTAAAGATATTTCGGTAGTATCAATAGGGAGAGAAGAAAGAATGAAGGACAAATTTTGTTCTTGTTTTGGGAAACTTAGTGAATTGAGTTATAGAATCTAGAAAGAGGAGTAGGTTTTAGGTGGGAAAGAAGGCAAATCCAGCTTTGAAAATTATAAATTTGAGTCTACGGCCACGCCACTCTGAACAAGCCCAATCCTGTCTGATCTTGGAAGCTAAGCAGGGTCGGGCCTGGTTAGTACTTGGATGGGAGACCACGTAGGAAGACCAGGTGCTGTAGGTGTAAAAAATAAAAAATAAAGGATTGTAAGCTGACAAGGTCCTTGCAATCTGTGAGGTCAACCAAGGATTGCCTTGCCTTAAAAAAAAAAGAAAATTATAAATTTGAGGTAAGATGAGTCATAGAAAGCTAGGCTGAAAAGATGGAGTAGGAAACATATGTCCATGACATGGGTGGGAAGAGGGCTAAACAGAGAGAAGACCCCTGTAGGACAAAACCTGAAGAATACAGATATTTAAGGGGCAGGCATGAGAAGAAAATCTGCAAAAAAGATTAAGTTGTAGCCAGGATGGTAAAAAGAAAACTAAGAACGGAGAGTACAACGGAAACCAAAAATAATGATTCAAGAATAGAAATTGACCTCATTTTTAAATGGCTGTGCAACATGCCATAGTATTGATGTAATAAGTACAATGTAATAAGAGAAATAAAAACAAAACACAGAACTTGAAGCATTTAAAAAATGTCAAATGCTCTACAATAAACTTCTTTAGTTAGTGGGGGAAGGGGATTCCATCAACATTAAAGAATAAAGTGGGTCCTATTAACACAGTTCTTATACTATGAAGGTATTCAATAAATGTCTATAATTTTTCTTTATAAAGTGAGTCACTGTGTTTTACATGTGGCTCAGATTATACTTTTACATTCTTTTCACTTGCTCTTACAAATATCATCATTATATCTGTAGTAATGTAGCTTTTTTTTGTGCTCCACTGCACTTGTCCCTTAATAAATGTCCCTGTTTTTCCCTTCTGATTATGTCCCTGGTACCAAATCCTCTGACTTATTGGTTGCACCAGATGTTACAGATTAATTGGCAAGGTAAATACATGTGACATTTTATTTCTGCTCATCTCATTAATGTAGATCAGCTCTAGCTGATTAGTTCTCCTCCAAATATTAGCTAAAATGACCCTATAACTTGGTGTCATACAGAGTAGTATGGTTTGTGATTGTTGCTTTCCTAGCCGGTATTTAATAGGTTTTTCATTTGTTTTGTGTGCGCACATGACGCTCTTACATTCCTGGACCTATTTCCTTTTTCTTCCTTCAGAACAAGCTCAAATAAAATAAATATTCTTAGCTCTCTCTTTAGAACGGGGAAAAAAAATCACATACCAATCCAAAAGAGAAATAGATAAGGAAAATATGAACAGGTTCAGAAAGGCATTTTAGGATTCATTAATATACACTGGTACCTCTTAAATTATTTTCCTTTTATGAAAAAGAACTAAAGAATTTTATAAAATAAAAAGCTATTAAGAAATCACATACTTTAAAAGATTTAGCACTTGCTTTTTATAGCTTTATTGACTATTACCAAGTTTTGATTTTCATATAATTAAATACTGCAACTGGGACATTAAAAATACAACTAATTTACCAAAATAATTGTATTCTGAATATTATGTACAATATTATACATTTTACATTACATAAAGTTTTTATACATAAAGGGAAGATTTGATTTATGGTTATTGAAAATCTAAAATACATTTGAACAAAACATTCCTATGCATACATACACAATCACTCAACTGGGACAATCAAAACCATACATGAGTGTGGTTATTAAAAAATAAAATTACATTCATACAACAATGGTAGAAATTGAAATGTATTTTTATTGATTCGAGAATATTATTACAAAACCACACACATGAATTATATAACCTAATTCTAAATATTTAAAACTCTTTATGCTTGAGACTGAAATACGTTTTTATACCCCAAGGGGAATTTTTGATTTTTTAATTTAAGGGATTTTTATTATTCATAATCATTAAAATGCCTAAATGTGGGCATAATGCAGACCCAATCCCAGCAAACAGAAAAGTAATGAGGGTATATCATTTCACCATGTGTGTTTCACCATACAGGTTTTGAAAAATAATCCTATTTTTCAAGGTATGATGTGTAATACCTTGCTTCAATTATACAATATGGTATGCCTTCATTGTCATACTTGTCATCAAGGTTATTACAAAATTGAGGCACAGAGCTTATAGGGGAAATATATATTACTATAGTGAACTAGATACTGAAACAAAGATATCACTAGGTGACTTCAGAAAAAAAAACAGAATGGATGTTCACGTAGAAAACACCACCCATTCACACTAAATTAGTTGTTAAACAAGGTGTCAGTCTTTCAAAAAGGTTAATATACTGATGTGTCATACCTTGTTTGTATATTGAAATATCCAAGTCCAGACTACTGTCACATGAATTTTAGTATTATCTCACTTTTAAATTTAATTCCTTTCAAGAATAGCTGTGATTTTAAGTAAAGCCAAACATTCTTCTGACCTGAAAAGTCTGAAAACCAATATCTTTATGAAAAAAAAAAATGGCTTTCCAACTGTATGTCACTCTATACATGAATCTTATTCCAGCAATACAGAGACTGATAAAAATTCTATCAGAATCGTACACAAGAGCCTTGAAAAGGCAGCAATTAGTAAACTGGCCATTCTCCTTAAAGTGTGCACAGCATTTTTGTAGTATTTCCTATTTTGAAATCCTGTATTCTATCAAAGGCAAATAACAGAATACCTGGAAACTAGAAGATAGAAAAGTAACAAGTTGAAACATATACAAAATTGATGTCCTTTCCAACATCACATAATCTATGAAAAATGAGATTCAGAGCCTAAGATTTGCTTCGTTTTCTTCTTGTTCACGTTTAGCTTGAATATAAAAGACGCCCTAACCTAGGTTACCAAAATATATTCATATAAATGTATGAGCGTTTCTAATACAAAAGTTTTAAAAGGGTCTAAACTCTTAATTTCTGTAATTAAATATCCTGGAGTTCAGTAGGCAGATTTATTTTTGAGCAGCTTGAAAGGAATTCGACGGCTGAGCTGTCTGGGAAGCTGGGCACGGCTACATTTCAGCTCTTCGCTGTGATTTCTCGGCAACAGCTGCCCCTTCGTCGTCGTCCTCCTCCTCCTCCTCATAGTGCTCCTCTCGGCCTTTGGGGTGGTGGTCATCTTGAACTTCTTGCCCTTCTCCATCATTGTTTTTCTCATCGGCCTTCAAGTTAAAAGGAAAAAAAAGAACTAAGAGATAGGGCAGAGAGTTAGTGAGATAAATTATTCCCTCTAAAAAAAGAGAAGAGTACGAAGTTATTCCTTTTGGGAGAAAGAAAACAAGCAAAGAAAAATGTTCCGACAGAGAGCAGTGCTGGTTTTTCCTAATCTGCATATTGTCACAAATGTTCTAATACTGGGTTGGCCCTTTAAAACTCTGGGGTAACTTAGATGTACCGACTGGTATCTATCCGACTATGCGTATGGTCTCTCCTACACACGTACAAACATGTGCAATAGAAACATACATCCTACACATACATTTTCATCATTTTCACCATAGGTCTCTTCAGCATTATGCGCCAATTCCCTTTTTTTCTCTTCAGTCAAATCTTCCTGAACCTAAAACAAACCAGAGATACGAGGTGACACTTTCATCATTTAAACATTTGGAACAACATATTCTGATTTCCAAAGAATTCATTCAAAGTAGCCAAAATAAAATTAAAAAATAAATTAAAAAAAGATAATAGTCAAAGATTTGATATCTATTAGCTATAAAGAAAGGTATAATACATCTGTTATTAAAAACATCTTACTCAACTGTCTTCCATATCTAGATGCATACCTGGCATACTGCGACTGCTTAATAAACATTGTTGACTGAATGAATAAGTGAATCAATGCAAAAACTATCTGCCCTGTAAAGGCACAGAAAAGAGACCCCATGACCTATAGACGAGGTAAGAGAAAACTGAGAAAAAAATGTGTATATGTATTTCTATAATTAAGAATAAAATTCTCTGGCTAAAATATCCAGAAGATAGAACACAATCATTTCAATTCCTTCAGGAAATAGTTATTAAACCTCCTCAAATCCCTTAATCTCTTTAGTGTTCTAACAAGACATTTCTGTTTTAAGTAGTTTACTTTTCTGTATGGTATTACTATTGTGTGTAATTGGTCTCAATTAATTTTTTTCCAAAATGCCAATCAAAGAAAGCATCATATTCCACAAAAAGCAGGGTAAAGTATTTTCTAACTTAAATATTTTGAAAACCATATGTATGCCAAAATTTTTAAATCATTTGAATATATTTCAAAAAACTGCTGACCACCAATTAAGCATAACATACAACCCTGGTAGCAAAAGAAAATCTGATCTCTCCTATGGACAGTGGTGTAGAGTAAGTCTTCTTGAATAACACACGAAAATTACCTGTTTTCTTTTTTTGGTGTTTAGGTGGCGGGGGGGGGGGCACAGTATTAAATAATCCCAGGAATGGGCCAGGAAAGTATGCAGGTGTTCTAATTAAGGAGCAACAAATTAAGGGCTGTCTCAAGGTGTCCAGCCCAGGTACGACAGGAATAAACCACAACCTACCAGACAAATCTTGGCATGAACCTGGCCTGTCAGAAGCCTACAAAGATGACCCTTCAGAGATACCTCAGACACAGCCCAGCCTACATGAACCTTTCTAATTAGCCCAGTGCCAGCCCCTAAACTATACTGGCACAAAATAAATTTCTTCTGAGGACAGAGGCACAGAGCATATTTTGTATTCCCATGTCCTGGTAGGGCGAGCTAAAGAGAGGACACACTTGTCACACCAGCAGGCTCTACCTTTGGTCCATGACATCGTTCTGTTCTTAGTCAGACTCTCATAACAACATTCCCCAGGACATCGGGACGAAAATGATGAAGCACTTATTTCAGATTATATTAAGGTCTGACTGAAACATCATTAAATTGCTAAAGTGTCCTGGATGATTTCAGTCAACAGACATGTCTTCTATGGCCTTTATAATGAAAATATACTCGTAAACACTAAACATGGCTAGCTGCAGTTGGGAGGAAACTGCCTTGAAACTGCGGTATGGTGGAATACAAATCAAGGTCAACACACCTTTCCTGTGAAGGGCTAGACACTAAATATTCAGGTTTTCTTGGGCATAAGGTGTAGCAACTACTCAGCTCTTCACTGTAGTGCTGTAGTGGCCTCAGACAATGTGTGAATGACAACAATGAAAATCATGGCTTACTGACAAGTAAGGCCGAGGCTAGAGTTTGCCAGTGTCTAACAGACTGTGGAGTCAGACAAACCTGGACTAAACCCTTGGTTCTGCAACTTTCCTGGCTCTATAAACAGTAAGGTCACTTATTTTTATTGTGAAAAATTTCAAGCACACACAAATAAAGAAAATAATTCAATGAACTCTCATAGCCATCAGCAAAATTCAATGCTGCCACACTTGAATCACCTACTGCTTTTCTTTATACATCTCTAAAAAGATTTTTTTTTTTTTATAAAACCATAATGCCATTAACAACACCTGATAAATAATTCCATGGAATCCTCTCATGTCTAGTCCATACTTATATTTTTCCTGATTGTCTTAAAAATGTCTATTTACAGTTGTTTTGTTCTAATTATGATCTAAAGGCTATACCTAACTTGGGTTCCGCTCCCCTCTCTTTTCCTTAATGTTATTCTTTTTCCTACAGACCCATATTCTGAATTTATTTGCTTTTTCCAGCATTACTTAACACATTCCTTTAGCCCCGCCCCGCCGCCCGCTTTTCTATAACAGTTAGTTTAAGGCTTGAATGAATTCATATTTACTTGTCAAAGCAAAGGTTTTTCAGAGAGGATGCTGTAGATTTCATATTTTCATTGCATGGGGAGCCACATAATGTTTGTCCCACTTTTAGTGAGACTAATGTTGGTCAGGGAACTCAGATGGTGATCCCTCCTTAATAAAATTCCCTGACTTCCCTTTATCTTGTGATATCATCCATCGATTACTGCTCTTAAATCAACTGTTTTAATTAAGGGTTACAAAAATGGTGACTAATTCCATCATGTCTTCTGCATTCACTAACTTCTATAAAGAACTTGCCTCTATCAACTATTTAGTTATTGTGCTTGGTATACTCAATTATGATAGTAGCCTTTAAAACCAGACCTTGATGGGCTCTACTCAAGCTGTGTGACCTTCAAATATTTAGCTAACCTTCCTGAAGCTCAAATTTCTTATCTGTAAAATAAAAAGGTTGAATAACAATCATTAATTTTCAATTGTGTGTGTGTGTTTGTGTGCACATGTGCGGTGGGGGAGTCACAGATCCTTTTAAGACTTTAGTAAGGAAGTCTTGAGTAAATGGGCGTAGATGCACATCATTTTGCATAGAAATTTCAGGACGTTCAGACTTCCCAAATTTCACTTGCACCACCTGTACTAGGCCTGCCTCTCTAAACAGTGTGCTCTGTAAACATCATCAGTGGCTGAGGCACTTGTGAAGAACTCAGACTCCTAGGCCCCACCACAGATAAGACAGAAATCTCCAAGGGTAAGGTCTGATCCAGGAATCTGCATTTCTCACACACTCTCCAAGGTGATTCTTAGCCAGAACAAAGGCTGAGAGCAACTCACTGGAGTGACAATGGATGAGAGCTAGAATGTCTCTGGCTAGAGAGATAAACACCCTTTTCATGATCTGATATAGAAAATTTAGAAGTTTTTTTTGGTCTGTTTTTTTGTTGTCTGTTTTTTTTTTTTTTTTTTACCCGATGGCAATATAATCTGAGATGAGAAGCACTTACTCTTTAATTTAGGAAAGTCACAAATAAAAATTTGCAATTTTTCAGATACATACATACACCTTATTATTCTAGTAATACATTTTTTATGTTTGGGGCAAAAGTAAATTAAATTCATCTTAAAGGCATTACTGAAAAGGAACAAAATGATAGGGAATTTCTAATTTTAAAATATGCTTAGACTAATTGCCAGCAGCCAAATGCTACTCTTTTATTGTGTAAACACACCAGTTATGTCTTTCACACTCAGCCGCACTTTTTGGTACCCTACTAAAGCTGATGCAAACACTGTGTTAAAGATTTCCTGACAGTGCTCCTCCTTACTCATTATTGTTCACTGAAATCTAATGTTTTAGGCATTTTAGAAATAGCCCCAACACGATGTGGCAAAGTTTAACAAGTAGTCAAAAAATAAAACAAACCTAGTGAGCGTGAAATGGGCTTTGGCTAGCTCCCCTGTCCCTGAATGTATTAATGTCTTTCTTTCATGCACCAGAGATGTTATGCGATGAGCCAGGAACCAGAAGGCTGAACCTTAAGTAGTAAAGGATGCTGGGATGCAAACAGGCAGACACAACGGGGCCAGGGGAAGGCTTTCAACAATGCCAGCTATAGCGATGGGCATGACTGCTGGCTGAGTAACATTTAAGAGGAGCTTTGCCACCTGGACAACTTCGTGATGTGGTGATTCACAGACCAGTAGAACCACTAAAGGTGGCCAAGTAACGTTGTGCTTGCTCTCTCATGAGTGTTCAGATCAATCTGTTTCTAGTTATGATGGGGACACAAGCACTAAGATTTTTCGAACAGTCATTTATATATTTTTTGAACATTTAAATAATTTTAAAGCATATAGAATATGTTTTGGCAATGTCATAATCTGTCCTGTTTGCTCATAAGTAGATAAAAATTTTGGGAAGTAAGCAACATGATAGGATTGCTTTATGAATTTCATTCTCTAAAATAATCCCACACAATAAACAATGAATGCTTGTTAATAACTGTCATTTTTATGTCTTAGAAAGGTAGCAAGGCTGCACTATGATAAAAGAAGGCAGGCACAGTGCAGATTTCCTAACATCACACTTGTTTTGGGTCCTCTGCTCTCAGAGTTCAAGTTACAAGTCTGATGGGCTGCCCCTCTGAACAGGGAGAGCCCTGGCAAGCTGCAATTCCTCCAGAGGAGCAGAGCTGACAGAATTCCGTTTGACTGTGGGCTGGAGGGAGGGGATCCGACGCAGGCGGTGGGCCTCACACCCCAGTGGTCAGCTGGGGCAGCCGGAAAAGTCTGAGGCTCAACGGAGACAAGAACGCTGTACATTTCATGGTACTCTGGTTTTCAGAGTGCCCCCACAAATGTGGTCTCGTACACACATCACTGATTAACAACATGTGTTCTCACATATTGCATTTCTCTTTATTTTTCTCATTTTGCTGCAGGCCGCTGAGAACTTCGTCTCTGACTATTACTAGTCCTTGAACCGTGTTTAGGAACCACTCTTCTCTTCCCTCCTCAAGGGAAGCACAGGGACCAACGGAAAGAGATGGGCGATCCAATGAGAATCATCTCAGGAACGACCAGAGAAATACCACACAGCCTGAAGAAGAGATGCTCAGGGGTAAAGAGGAAAGCTATGCTGGGAAGGCGTGCGGGGCTTCCTCTGAGAGTTCACAAGGCAACAGTCCCAACAAGAGGATGTGGCAACCTGGAGCCTATGTAAGAGAGGGTTAGAAAGTGGGGACAGAGAAGCCAAATATAGGAATTCTGGGCAGGGAAGTATGAAAAGAGAAGCAGGATGGGGTGCTAGGTGCAGGGAGATTAAAAAAAGCTCTGGTCAGTTCCATCCACCTGAGGGAGGAAGAGCCACGGCCTGAAGGAGTGGCCTCTGAGGGTTAGGCACTGACCTCTGCCTTGTCACCCTTCTCCTTCCCCCTTGCCTATCTTTTCTTTCTATTCTTGATCCCTCTTGGATCACAGGATTTCTCTCTCCACCTTAACTGATATAATATAGAAGTAAAAAATAATCAGTAAATACTGATTAAAATTTTATGTTTAGCCTTCTGAATTTTTAAAAAGAAGCCAAGGTGAACCTCTCCTCTTTTAATCCCTCAAAGATTCCTGGCATCTGACACAATGAAATAAAGTAATATTAGTCTAGACATTCTGCTACAAGAGCAGTCCAGATGAATATCTTTTTCTTGCCAAACGTCTTAACATTCAAGGCTGCTGGTTTCTCTAATGCTCTCTTCTGATAAGACAGCTCAGGGTCTTGATTAGGATGAACAACAGGATGAGAAAAAAGGGAGAATAAAAAGATCAACCCAGTTAGAGAACACGTGACTAGAGGTATACGTTGCCAGCAGCTATAAAGAGGGACAATGTTTTGTTTCCCTGGTATAAGCACAAATTTTAGCATTAGCTCTGAAAGCCGACAGATGCCATAAAAATGAGAAAGCAGATCCAGTCAAGGGAACTGTGTATGTGACTGCAGCAGGGTCTCTGGTGGCCGGGCTGGTTTTTTCAGACTGCCATTTATCTATCCTCTCATGTGGTTCCCCTCAGGGCCAAAGCCACACATTGGCAAGAAGCCTGGCTGAGAGGCGACTCTGAAACAGGATTTTAATTTACTAGACCATTTACTGGTCCAGAGAGACACTAAACATGGGGCCCTGGCCTCATCCAAATCATGTTCCCAAGTACTGAGCTTCAGTTGTCCAAACAGTAGACTGCTGTGACTAACCAGCTACGACCAACAGTATTCATCAACCAGCTAACACAAATGGGGCACCACGATGCTCTAAACCTGATTAACAATGTGCCGGAAGTTTACAATAAAATAGCAAATGAAAAAGAAATGCTAAGAAATTCCCCCTAAATGTATTTTATTCAACTGAGTTCCTTATGTATTTTTCCTTTTCTTTATTGGTAAATTTAATTAAGACACCAAATTCTTGGAAAGAAAGAGGCTAAAAGTAGAGACTATAAATTTGTTTAAAATGTCTGGAGGGTGTGAAGTGTTTTCTGACGGACACCGCGGCAATGTCTACAGAGAAAGGTACAGGGGTTAGTTAGTCCAGACTCTCTCAATGGGAGATTTGCTCTTCTCTATTTTAGGAAGGAAAGACATGAGAGAAAATATTCTTACAAAGATCACATACACTTAAGTCCACCACTCCTGGGAGACCAAATGTCTTCTTAATTCAAAATTTCTAGTGAGAAGTGGAGGGAAGGATTCTATTACCCCGTTTCTGTTATCTTCTAACGAAATGGTTCCTCTGTCATGGGCTGTTTCCTCTTGAAACCACCCTTTCTTATCCTACCTATGCCTTTCTGAGCATTTCCAGAGAAGGTATTTCAAAGCGATGCTGCTGAGGTTTGTTTCTGACCAGTGTGACGCGCCAAGGAGTGTGACTGGGCCCTCACGCCCTCCTACCTCCTCCTCTCCCTCCTCCTGGTACTGCTCATCCGCGTTACCCTCCTGCTGGTCTGGGTTTCCTGCCATCTGTTGAAACAAGAGGGGAGGCTCAGGTTGCTGAACCCTGGAGATGTGTCTTACAGTACTTTGAGACAAAGAACAAGCATGCCACCACGAAAAATGTACTTTCGATGCATTGGTGGCCAGGAAAAAAATAAATAATCATTCCCAGCACGAAGCCCAGGCTGTCTGTCACCCCCTCTCTGAGTGAAGGTTCATCATTTCATCTAGTGGCCCAAAAACCAGTCAAAGAGGCAAAGCTTCTGACAGTGTAGGTTATGACTAACCTTCTGTATAAACCGGGGATCTAGTAAAATGCCCAGGTTAAAACCACTCTCCCTCCACAGTGGCCTCTGCTTACCACCAAATGCTCCTCCATCTCTGTGTTCTCTTGTTTCCGATTACTCTGTTTTTGCTCTTCATTTTCATCTGGCAAATTTTCTTCTCTTGCTTGTTCGGCTTCCTCAAACTCATCTTCTCCTTGGTTATTCGGGTCATCTGCTGGATTTATATCCTCCATGGCTGCCCTCTGTAAAATTCCAATAAACAGCAACCACCACTTCAAAACCCGGGATCACGTTTAATTTCATTTGAAAGGCTGCACACTTGGCGGAAAATGCGATCATCCTTCACCAGGCTGTTCAGATCTTTCCTCGCCAAGATGCATAAGTACACATCCCACTGTCAAAAGGTAAAACGCCCACACTTTTTGTCAGAAGCTGATGAATCAGAATGAAATATGATTGGCATGTCTCTTCTACAAGTGATTCCAAAATAGCCCTCCAAACTCTACTATAGCAAGTAATGTGAGCATAACTAGACATAGGAAAAATAGTTATTAAGAAACAAAAAAACCAAGTAGGAGAAACATTAAAAAGGGAGATTTGGATAGACAAATGGGAACTTCATTCATTATTATGTTGATTTTTATACAGGCAAGCTTTCCTTTGTAGGTGATTTTTTACACATAAGTGGGCGGAAAGTAGTCGAAGAGAAAGAAGGCTCACACCCGAAAGGACCAAAGAAGAGGGCCAGTTCGAAAGTCAATGATCAATTTCCAGTATGGATCAAGTTTCTTTCTAACAAACACTACCACAACACTCAGAGATGTCGCATTAGCAAGGTACGGGAGGAAAAGAACTGCGCTAACCCAATCTTTGGCAATATATTTTGAAAAGTATCTCCCCAGGCCCATACCACCTCCCAAGTAGTTCTGAGTTCCTGTGTTCACCAAATGTCCTTCACATTATCAACTATAGAATTATCTCAAATTTCCACTTAAGCTCTCAAAGAATCTTTCAAAATATGCTCTCATAAAGATTTAGATTTCGGAGCCTGAGCTGGGCAGAAATGGCGATGCTCGCGTGAGCTTCCCCATCACTCCAGTGTCATCAATAGGGCGTTTGACTGAGCAGCAAATGATTTCCAGAGACGGTGAAGCCTCAGAGTAAGATTCAATCTCTTTTGGCATGAATGGACATGAGCCTTGAGAGCAAGGGCTCCATGAAGCTGACCCAGATTCTACTTCAATTCACTTCAGGGCCTTGAACACGTTCAAGAGCTCACTGCAGTCTCAGCCGAACTATTATCTGTGTATCCCTGGCTATATACTTCATTCGAGTGCAAATGACACTTTTCTTGAGAATAAAGAGAGTGACAAATCATTACCTTCACACTAAACTCCAGTCACTCCACAATCTCTTGTCATATGGATTTCTTTTTGTGCACTATCAATCATTTGTGTGGGAATAGAGAAAAAAATGTAACAGACTCTCTTCAGAAAAACAGCATGAAAGCTTTTGCAAAAGTTCATAAAAATATACATACTAGCTCCAATCCTAACCGAGCAATAAGTAAGGTTTAACAGGCATGGTTGCTATATTTTCATAAAATAACAATGATCAATTACATGTCAATAAAGTTGGACAACATTGTTTCGATTAAAAAAATAAAATAGGTAAGACAAAGAGAGGGAAAAATGGGGTAACAATTTCTAATTAAAAGAAGGCATGAGAGAAAGTCCAATGTTCCTAAGTGTGTTGTTCCCCAGAACAGGTAAACTGATGATGACAAGAGAGTAAAGGGTTTTAAAGTCAAGTAGTCAAAGCTAACGGCACTTCCCAAATGTCGCAGATTAGAACACGCAGGCGCCTCTGTCCTCCCTTCATGCTTTTCAGGCTCATTCTCAGGCTTCTGCACGCTGACTGCGGCCCTCTCACAGACACTCCCTTGCTCTTTCATACTCTCTGGCTCTCTCATACTCCTGTTCACTATGGATCTTGCTCTTTCTTGAAAATATTTCAGGGCCAGGGTTCCCTGGAGCATACTTTCAAAATGCTAATTCAGGGGCGAGCACATAAATATGGTCTGCCATATCTCCGTGTAAATTAAGTGGAACAGCCGTTTCCATCAAGGTGGCTTCGGGCAGCCATCAGGAGGACTTTTTCGAGGATAATCAAGAAAGGATATGGAGCCTCCTTTCAATCCACTAGACCAATATAAAAAGGGCCCATAGCACAGCACAGACTATAAACTTTATAAACAGGGTGGTTGGTTTACTGCCAAAGATGACCGGAGAGCTAAAGTAAGTTGCAAAAATCACCTACACATAAGCACAAGAACATGCCCACTCAGCATTTGCTTGCCACATTGGTAGGCAAGGCCAAGGAGCCAGAACATCCAGCTGAACTGAGACCAGTTGGTAAACACAACTGTCTTGGTTATTAGGTCTCTATCTATTTATATTCTAATTTTTATACAGCATCATGATAACCAAACAATTTTTTTCCCTTCTCAAATCACACATCCTTATCCAGTGTTTATTAAAATGGTCACTGACTATTGGGAGATTACAGAGAGTCACATGACATACAAAACACACTAACAAGCTGCTTGCCATGCTCAATAATAGTTAATTTCCTTTCTCAGGTTCCCTATCCAACCCCCACACTTGCCTTTCTTTTTTCATCTTTCAGAATTACTACATCTTTTGATGCTTGCACTTTTGCTCTTATTTTTAAAAATTGTTATTAATCTAAAAGTCATCAGAGAACTCTAGAAGCCTTTGACGTTTGTACTCAGAGCAATCTTTAACTCATCCTCATCTCAACAGGTCCTCATGGTTTACGCTTAACATCACTGCTCGTATCATGTGATTATGTGAGCTGTGATTATCTGTGCTGATGAAATAACAGACATATCAGGAGCCAAGAGTGTGGTGTCAGGCAAACCTTCAAGTGTCCTTTCTGCCTTGTGAGTTTCCAAATGTTCTGACCAGAAGAGAAGGTACTTACATCTGCCTCAGATTCTGGGTCAGCTTCATGGAGCCCTTGCTCTCGAGGCTCATGTCCATTCTCTGGTTCTTCTTCTGCCTCATCTTGGTGCTGGTTGTCTCTCTCATAGGCTAACAAATCAAAGGAACTAACATCAGCCCAGGGGAACCAGACAGGAATATTTCCTTTCACTCAAAGAAAGGCCACCAGTGCGCTTTCCCAGAGGCCATTTCACCCAATCTGTACTCCAGCGAGACTAACTCAACATAAGGCGCATGTCTCAGCTTTTCTGAATGACGTCACGTCCTTTTCCCAGACCTTGTATCTAAGGTGATAGTGCGGGTGAGTGGCACCATTGTAACTCTTTGAAACAAATGTTTATAACAGAAACTGCAATCCTCCCCCACAATGTTTTCAAAAACAACAAATGAAACTCTCTCAAAAAAAGAAAGTCCAGTCAACTGGACCTTGCTAAAATTACTAATTTTTGGCATTATCAGAGGAAACAGCAAGGTACCAAAAGAAGAAATTGATACTGTTTCAGAAAATGAAAGAAAGAACAACCCCGCTTGTGGAACCAAAAACCTAACAAATATTGCCCATCCTGTGTTCTCTGATATGGCAGCTATGGTGACAGCCACGACACAGATACAGCACACACTTATACTCGCACAGACATTTACTTGCTGCTCTTTGAAAAACTATTTTGATAAAGAGAATTTAGATACAAGCATACAAAGAGAACAAGTAATTTTTTAAAGTAAGCTCTAAGAGGGAAAGTTAAGTACATAGAGAGTATGTAACCTATAGAAAACTAAGATATAGGATAACTTACCGTCATCTTTCAAGTGCACCAAGGAATTCATTAGCTAAAGAAAAACTATTCTCTAGTTTTACTGATAATGGAACAAAAAAGCTTAAAATGCTGCACAGGGAACACAAGGAAAACAATTTCCTGACTATAAAATATCAGAACTGGCTATAGAGGGAGTCAGAGTAAGCACCTTCCTTTAGACTCGTTAGAAAAGGACACATACCTTAAAATGTTAGTGTTGTCAGAGAGACAGTTAACTTTCTAGTTCTATCATCACAGAAAGCAACGTTTGATAAATTACATACTAGATGCACACCATAAACAAAAGCTACTACTGACTTAATTTGAAAACTTTTAAGGCAATGATCCAAAAGCCTCCAAGGTAAGGAGAAAAATGAAGAAGTTTCCTAAAACATAATACTCGTATAATAATGTGTCAGTAATAACTATTTGGTATACAAAAGCGTAAACTACTATTTCTTCTCTACTCTGAAATGTTACCGAGGAAACAAATTATCTTGGGCAATTTTGGCTACTAATGTGCACTGTTTGGGAGGATTAAGAAAAATTCAACAACAACAAGATACATGGAACACAAATCTTTGCCCATACTCGTATGCATATGGCTCTGAATTAATATATATTACCAAGCAATTTTATTAAAACATTCATCATCTAAGAAGTCTCACCACCTCCTTCTTCTTCTTGGTCCTCTGCTCCCTGAACAATATCATTATCCATGGCATCATAATGAGCTGGCTTCCTGCAAGGAACACAAACATTATTAACTCGGTAACACAAATTACGTAGCACAGTTTGACATAAGTCATTTATCTTTAAAGAGCAATAAACAAATTTACCAGCCTTTTAAAAAAAACAAAACAAAAAAACAAAAATTTCTTTAAAAAATTTAGGTTTAATAAAGATTATGAATATTCTTTCAAAAGAACTTTAAAAAAGATAAACTACTTTTCGAATGATAAAATAAAGTTAGCACAAAACCCTCTAGGTTATTTTGAAGACCTAAACTATAACTTCTAAGCAGGAAAAAAAAAACGTTATTTTTAAAATTAAATATTTGGAATTAAGTTCTCAGGGAATTGTTCTGCCTCAGTAATAGGAGCAATGTGACCCCTCAAGTTCACAGATAACAAATACATAAAGCTGTGTTTAATTTGATGAGAAAAACCAGAGGGCCTGTCTACGCCATCAGAAGGCTACCTTGGCTGTTCCGGCTGCCCCTCCTCCTGCCCAGCCTGCCTCTGCCGGGCCAGCTCTTGGGCAAGAAGCATCTGCTGCTGCTGCTGCTGCTGCTGCTGCTGCTGCTGCTGCTGCTGCTGCTGCTGCTGCTGCTGCCGCCTCAACAAGTGTCCCTGCAGCCGCTGCTGATGCAGGGCCTCCTGGTGCTCTCTCAGCCTCTGCGCCTCCTCAGCCCGCCTCGCGGCCAGTCTCTGCTGTTCCAGCTGCTCCTCATATGGCGATCGAAATTTGGTATCTGGCTTGACCGAAGGATGCACCTGGGGAAAAATGAGTTGGAGCTGTGCAAGAGCAGTGAGGTCCTCTGTGTACTCCCTTCATTTGGTCCTCATGACAAACTCAGGACGCATGGTTGGTGTACTGACATCTATCTATCAGGGGAACTGTGACTGAACATTAGGTCCAATGTCATCCAGCCCTGGAACTCCTATTTTCCAACTCTCTGAGTCTCCCCTTGGCTTCCTTTAGCAACTGATCCTCCTGATTTGCTGGTATTAAGGCTGATTTTCAACGTGCTCCTTCTCAAATGGAAGAGGACACAACAGAAGAAATAATTTTGAATCTTAATTAAATTTATGTTCAAAAGGCTCTGCTATAAGTGGGCAATTGGTGACCTCAAACTAATTGGGACAATTTGTGAGCTTGAGACTAAGGCCTTTCCATGAAGAGCGAAAGATCTAGGGATGCTAATTAATTCTAGTAATGTCTGTACCAATCTCAGGCTAAACATAACCAAAAAAAGTGAAACTTCTGATTAGGGTAGAAAAGGAGAGAACCAATTTTCCTTAAAGAATCAAAGAATGGGTAAGAAGCTAGTGCCTTCTGATTAAAGGAAAATCTGATACAGGAATTTTAAACTCTGCTTCCCATTGAGAGATCCACCACTCCCTCTTCCACTCCCCAAGTGAAATAACTACACAGTATTCTCACCAAAGGTGCAAGGTGGAGAGGAATGAAACCTAGTGAGGAATTACTTTTGAAGGTCACATGACTGAGAGAAGTTTCTTCATGCTAACTTTATAGCATTATAAGAGTGCAACTACAGAAGCTTTCACACCTACTCAGCCTAAAGCTTCAAGCAGCTAGAAGCTTTAGAGAGTCTGAGGCCAAATAAAGCTTCAAAGTTATAAATAAAAGGTGACCAGCATGTATGCAAAGACCAGGTAGCCTGCTGTTATTGGCTTAGAGATAGTGGAAGAAAGGTAGCTAGCTGCATTCAGTGTTGCTTTAAGTTCTTTTAAAGTATCATTTACCAAAATAACGGACTTTAAAAAAAATCCTACTTATGTGAGAGAGCACTGCTCAGTAGGGGAGCCTGAGCAGAGACTAGTTAAACAAGCTCAATTAGTGGAGTATCCTTAAGTGATAAGATCAGCTTTCTGATAACTTGAAGGTAAATGGGCAGAAGCCAATATGCGATTTGAGAGTAAATGAACAGGGATCAGGAACGTTTAATTAATGAAAATGAGACTGTTCTTGGCCTCAAGGCGCCCACAGAACTTGAGCATAGATCGGGAAGGTGCCTGACCAGGTGCTCACCTATGCTACTCCACTGAGGAGATGTGAGCATGAGTCCCCCTCACTGGGCACTCCATTCTGTCCATCACAGACACATACATATACCAGCAGCTCTTCTCTTTTCTCCAAACATCTTTATGAGGTATGTCAGTAGCTCTGCTATTAACAATGCCACAGAAAACTTAAATATGTTCACATAACATTTAGTGAAACTGCATTTTTTATTTTAGACATTGTCATTATATGGGTAAGCCTTTTTCTTTAATATTTAAAAACAAAGCCACACTCCCTATCCCAGGCAGTGAAACCTAATCCAAGCCAACCTGGAGTGGATGACCTGGTACCTCAGCGGGAGCGTGCCCTTCCAGAAGGTTGGCTGCTTCTCTTTGTCCCCTCCACTCCCGGTCCTGCTCCTCTGGTGATGGATCGTGTTCCTCCTCGAGATGTTCAGCCTGCCCCACCTGCTCCATTGCCTCCTCTTCCAGGGCCTTTCTGTGCTCCTCTTCTGCCTGATGTTCCTCGGGCTCTCTGGCTTCCGCATCCTGCTGGTTCAGCTCTGCTGGAGCCTGAATTTCTGCTTCCTTCTGGGTGGGAGGATAAAGTCTTGTTTCTTCTGTTCTTCCAGGCACTGCTTCATGCTTCTGCCACACATCACTATTTAGATTCACCTAGGCCAAGCACATCACTGGAAATGACACTTCTATTCCAAAAGTAGTGATATAATTTCTTTATTATTATGTCTATGGGGTTACGACATCAGCAAAATCCGGGAGTCTAGAAATAGAGTCCTGACTGAAAAGTATGGCTGCAATGGAGTCATTTAACTCTTCTCACTGCATAACCCTAACTATAAAATAGAAATAACATAAGCAAAATTTCATCTTGGAAAGAACATAGCAAATAGCCTAAAACTAAAGCCTGTAAGTACTATATCTCAGTAGGCCTTTCCCACAAAAGCAAGCTAGTTACAATTTTCCAGTAGAATACAAAGGAAAAAAAAAAAAACCTTCAAACTTCAAGTGATGAAATGTTTACATAATTTTCTTCAATGTATATTTTGTTTTCAATAATGATTTGAAAAGAATAAGATCAAATTAAGAATGAGTTGGGTTTATTTGATATTAGCTAATAAAAAAAAGACACTCCTTTACTAACAGACATCTGTGTTAGCTAAAAATAGTGTCCATTAGATCAGGTACAATAGAACACTTTTTAATGTATTAAGGTAGCATTTTTTTGTAAACCAGAGGAAGTCTTTTGTATTTGGTATTGTTAATACAGAAAACACTGAACAGAAAAACGACATCTCCTTTTACAGAGTACTCCTCTTCTAAAATTGATTGATTTAAATCAGTTTTCCCTGCAAGTTTCAGAGATTTCTATATGATCTTCATTACTTCGAAAAGAAGGGTGAAAAAAGATGATATAACACAATTAGGAATTTCTGTCACTCCTTTCCCCACCTCTAACCTTCTTTATCAGAAAAAAAAAATAACTTCTTTGGTCAGATTGCTCTCCCCTAATTGAAATAAATGTAAAGGCCTCTTCTTAAATTAGCAGGGATATGACTGAGAAACCAGGTTGTACAAATAAATAAACTGGGGAGAAAAGACCTTTCTTAAACATCTGAAGGTAACTTTTGGAGATGTACATTTTACCAACATCCTCGTACACCTGGCAAGTTGGACATAATACTGTGCTGAGTTTCCACGAAATATCTCTTTAAAAAGCACTGAATGCTCTCAGACACCTGTCATTTATCTCCACAAAATCCCTGTGGGAAAGGCTGGAGCAGATAACTACTATCACCACCTCATAGATGGAAAAACTGAAGTTCTGAGTCATTAAAAGATTAATTGGGTACACGGGTAGTTAACTTAGGGTAGAGGACAGAACTAATTCCCAGGCCAGGGATCTTGTCGTGTTGTTTTTTTCTTAATTAGAATTAACCTAAGACCCACACAAAGAACAAGAGGCCATGAGGGATGCAGAACCTGTCTGTGAAGAAATACTCTGTAGGACTGAAGACTCATGAAGTCCACTCACATCAACTAATTGTCCCTGTAAGTTAGTGACTTGAGTGGGGGAAGTCCTCTCACACATTCATTGTTAACAATTTTGTCAGAGGAAAGACCGCCACACCTGCCGTTATTACACCTGTGATTGCAAAAGCAATTTGTAAGAATTAATGATTAGGGTGGCACTACTTTTGATGTCTCATTTATGAGATACTCTTAAGCAAAGCTTAATTTTTATGAAGAACAGGAATACAAAAATGTTGATCATGACACTAGCACTCACACCCTTAGTAGTTTTATAAAGACCTTTTAATACAAGTGTTAGCATGTTCTATGTTGACCTAGTACTGCATTGAATTGAAATATATTATCAACTTTAATATTTGAGTGGGCTGATTGTCATAGGATATCTTCATGATCATTTAACCCTCTCCCTCTACCAAAAAACAAAACAAAACAAAAAAGACTTAAAAATCTCAGACATGACACAACAATTTGTTTCAAATAAATAAACCCACATGAATAAAGCCAAAGTCATTGTAGTATTTCCCAGAAAATAGTACAGCAGTAGTTCTCAAAGTGTGCTCCCCAGACCAGCTGAATCAGCAATGCAAATCCTCACACCTCACTCCAAATTAGCTGAATCTGAAACCTTGGCCTGCATTTTAACAGCCCTGCTGGGGACTCTGATATATGCTAAAATTTGAGAACCACTGTTCTGCAGGAAGAGTTGGCAATATTTAGAACAATTCACCTGATGACAGCTTGACAGGGTTAGTGACCTGTCCATAGGTTACCAGTTCACGCCTCTTACCTCCTGTGGCTGTCTGGCTGGATTCTCCCTTGCTGTGCTGTCACCTTGTGGCGAATGTGCTACCTGAGTAACATTTTGCTGCTTTGTTGGTTCTGGTTTTCGAAAGCTTGGAATCCTATTCAGAGTATCTTTCAGTTGTTTATATTCTGCAACTTGAGTCTGCATATAAATTGCACAGTTCAAAAGGAGAAAATTAGATAGGCATTAGGGGTCACTGGGAGGCTAGACAAATGTATTATATCTAAATACAACTTAGAAAAAATATGCGGATTGTTTTCATGCATTAGCTCCTCTTACTTGAACATGCTTAACCATTTTTAAGCACATGCAAAATGGAATTAGAGTTAAAGGGAACAGAGAAAAAATGTCTATGACAGATGTTAGTTCCCCATGCTATGTTAAACAAAGTTGGAATTTTTATAAATAACTTTCTAGTATAAACATCATTATTAAAAGACAGCTGTGTGGCAAGTATTACAGCATTAAAAATCTACTAAAAATTCACATAATTATACAAACACAGGTGCAGATATCTTAACAATATGGTCTGAGTAACATTTTTCAGCCGAAAAGAATCACAGGTTTAAAATACGTAACTGAACACATGTGTATATACGATCACTCAGGACACCTTCCTCCCTCAGTCAACTTGAGCTCAGATAGGGTCCCTTACTTGCCAGAATGCTTCCAGGATTGTACTCTGCAGCTTTTTTTGGAAAGCAAAAGCACAGGCATACAGTGAAGCTAGATTTTTATTCCTCAATTCTGTAATGTAGATATAAGAATATACTCTTTTGCGTGTATATGTGTTGGGGGTGTGTGTGTGCATGTACACGATATTTTTAATATAAGGAGCTAGAAAGGCAGAAAAAAGTCAAACTCCTTAACTAAGAAAATGAAAAGAAACTGTTTATACTTAGCTCATCATATGCACCAACACTGGTATCCTAAAACAGAAATGCTGTGTGTGCAAACACACACATAAACAAACACATGCAGAGAACACAGAAATCTTTTTCTGAGCAAGTTCCCCAGATAGGGCCTCCTCCCTCGGTGCGCACGGCAGAGCGGGAGGCGGGGCTGGGGTGCAGCCAGCGCTCCTGTGGCCACAGCTGTGCACTCTGCACAGTGCTCTTCCATCCAACGAGGAGGCGCCTTTTTGCCTTCTTCTCATTTATACGAAGGTCAAGATGTCTGCTTGCTAAATCTATGTTTATCATTTATATAAAGATGTGCCGTATAGCTAACAGTGGCTCTTAGCCTAGAAATCAAAACATTTGCAAACTAACTTCGGAAGTCAAAGAAAAAAAACAACTGACATCCACATAGTAATATTTTTAATATTTTAAGATAAATATGGAGAAATTCACAAACCTTAAATCTAGGGTAATTCTTCTTTTTCCTCCTAAATACATAATCTTTGAAGGCAGTAATGCTGTGGTCCTCAAATATTTGTGTGCATTAAGAATTGGAAGAATCATGTTAAAAATGCAAGATCCTGGGCCCCACTCTAGTAATTATGATTCATTAGGCCTGGGGCAAGGCCCAGGTAACTGTGATGGACTGGACGGGAGTCTCCAAAAACACCAGCCCGAGAGTTAAATGTGACTTAGCTGTCAGGATGGCCTAAGCTTCAACTTGATTCCGATCACTGATCTTGGGCCAGCTACTTTAGCTCCCTTTATTTAGGTAAAAAGGGCATAATACCATATAATTCAACACATTGTGCATATTAAATAAAATTGCATATATAAAGTTCATATGATAATCCCTGACAATTGTAAACACTCAAATTCTATTCTGCTCTTGCCTTCTCCCCTCTCAATTACAAATTGTCTAGACAGAATCTCATAAGATGACTTACATTAGACATGTAGATGTCTAAACAGCATTTGTTTTCTAAGAAGCTCTACGAAAAATTTTAATATGGGGATTAGAGGTGAAACGCTAAGTATTGTGACTAGTTCTGGCAAAACTATTAGGAAAAAAAGGCAGGACAAACTTGAAGTTTTCTCCCCAGTGAGCCAAAAAAGATATTTAAAAAAGTAGAAAACTATGCATAGCTTAAGTAAAAATAAAAATAAAAAAATATATATATATATGTATATTTATGACAAAACCTTGTCAGTAACACTCCCAGGGTACTTACTACAGAATTTGGTTGTGGTCATTAAATAAACTATTTTACTTACATTTCTCTGGATTTTCAAATTGTTGCTTCATCTGATACTTATGGCCATTATAGCATAGAATATTCAAATGGGTTTGTTGCAGTTTTTAGTATAAAAAACAGCCTCACATAAAATAATAATACTTGGCAAAACTTTTATAAAGAAGGTTTTGAATGAAATAATCCCCTCTGAAGTCAATTTAATTTATACTCATGTAAAAAATCACCCTGTAGCTAGTTTCACAGAGAAACGCCCACATCACTGTCTACAATGAAAAGGAGTCCCAGAGATGCAGATGTTACAGACTCTGAGATGGGTCAGGGCCCACCAAATTATATTTCTAATAATTTCGTAAGGACAAAATTGATACGTGGTCTCCTGATAAATAGAGATGGCTGGTTTTCCTTTGGCCTTTATTCTTATTCTTCCAAGAGAAGAAATGCAAAGCCCTGATGATTAAGACGTAGTGACTAAACTAGCCATTCCTATTTCTTTGCTTTTCCTAGAAAGTGAAACACCCAGTGTGGTATTGCTTTAATAAGCACTCTAACACTTATACTTGTTCATCTGTTCCTTCAGAGCATATCTGCTGAGGGCCCACCTTGTGCCAGGGGCTGTTCCAGGCTTTGAACAAATAGAACTTCTGACTCTTGTGTTTTACCTTCTCTATTGACATGAGAGCTCTTCATTTCTTTCTATAATTTGACCAATAACACATAAGCCTAGTCCCAAAAGGAGTATGAGTAGGCTGGAATGCTAGGAGCAAGGAAGGGAGGGAAAAAGAAGTCTGGCGATAATTTATTTAGGTAGCTAGCATCATAAAATCCTCTAAATCCCAGAGCAAGAGTCAACACAGGTCAGATAGTGGCAAGAGACCATATATATATATGGAATAATTTCTATGATTTAAACAAGGATTAGAATGCTGAATGTAAGGGCTAATGCAGGGTAGAAATAATCATATGTATTCCACAATCAGTGGCAAAAAATAATCGAAGGTTTATTTAATATTCTCTTGATTGAATTCTGAAAGCATGCATGATCCTCAGGATCAGGATAGCTCTGTGCTAAGGAACTCACTGAAGATTGGCTTTTGAGAGACTGCATGCACAAAGGAATTCAGAAATGTTAAGCAGACTTTAAAAAAGAACCGACAGAGGCTGCTACCCTTCTAACCTGTGCAGCAGCTAGCGCACTCTTGTGGTCTTCCAAAGTCACTACAAGTTGTTCATGCTCGGAGAGTAAATTCTTATGCTGTTGCTACACAAAAAAGAATTTTACATGTTGAGTTTTAACATTCTAAGACAAACTCTTTTTTGGCTGACAGTGGTATGACCACCCAAACGTTTCTTGCTTGCTTTGCTTTGTTGCAGCATTCGTTAAGTTTAAAAATAATTGGAGAGATGAGTATGATTAACATAGTATTCTAAAATCTAAAATGAGCTATACAAATATCATAATCACGATAAAACCAAAAGCAAATGAACAACTCTTTCATTATTAATAAAGCTTTTTAAATAAAAAGCTTATTAAAACGCAACCATTTAGCAAAAGAATCATTTCAGTACTAATGAACATGTTTGGATTTTCAGACCATCTTTTAGCTTACAATGCAGAAGTGGTAAAAGAATTAGGCACACTCAGTTTATGCCAAGCCCAAAAAGACAACGTGGATTTGTAGAGCAGGTCAATTAGAGAATCACTTTTAAAATCATTCCACAAAGTAAATGAGGCAAGCACTAAAGAGTCGAACGCATGGCTTTGCTTTACCTTGACATCTTGGAGCTGTGTATGTATGTCCTGGTGCGCTTTCCTTAGTTGTCTATTCTCTTCTCGCAAATTGTACACAGTTTCTATTTTAGAAAAAGAAAATCACACATAAAGCCTTGACATTTTTAGGCTTTTGATGCTAATGCTTCATATCTAAAGCTTGATATAACTTGTTTTAGGATTTGTTTTGAACTTTGACAATATAATATTCCAAATCAATAAAAACTACACAGCTTGGGCATGGATTCACTTGTACATCCCAATACAATCCGGTTCAGTAGCTTAAACACTTTTAAAGAGATTACACACTATAGAAGAAAGTAAGGATTTTTAATTACTCAAGAGTTAAAAATGGAATATTTCTGTTAATAAGTAACCCCTTAGGAATAAAAGGCAATGGGCAGGGGTGGTCTAAAATTTGAGTCTCTTCACAAATTAAAAACAAAGTTATCAAAAAGCACAAACTCTATTTCTCAGAGCACAAGTAATTTCCACTGTCCCCAAAAGGTATTTCAATTATGAAGGCAACTCAAGAAATAAGAGACAGAGAAATACCTGGTTCTGGCACATGGTAAAATTTGTTGAGTGTCAGCTATTATGATGATGATAATGAAAAGAATAATTATCTAAGCTTATATGCTATCAGTTCATCTCCCCAGGAATTCTAAATTCTCTTCTCGTATCACGTTAAACTACTGAAGACTGCTTGGATGTACATCTTTGTCTGCCACTCCTAACCTGCATCTATCACGACATGCTTTAACTTACTATCCTATGCTTTATCAAGGATCATAACCAAAAAACACTGCTGATGTGAAACTTATAATAGTGTCATCAAAGGCATTGTCACACTGTGTTGGTTAAGGTCACCTTGAGATGTTTCTTCCAATAATTAGCTGGCAACATAAATAGTGTTTTCTCTTGCTCTCTTTCTCCCTTATTCTCCCTTTGTCTCTGTCTCAGTCTCTCCCTACCCCTCAAGGTATTAATATAGTCTCCATTTCTGATGACAAGAGCCCTGTATTCACGGTATTTCTCCTTTTGTCCTGGGCGTCAAGAAGTTGTTTTGTTGTCTTAATGACCTCGCAACACCTGCCACAACACCAAGAAGCCAAAGCCCCTACATGTCTATATCTCTTGGGTATCATCAGCTGACAGCCAGCTCAGCTCTATCAAGACCACCTTAACCTTTTGTAAATTACCACGATCCTTTTTCTTATAACTTATTATTCTGAAATACTTATAGACAAAACGTTGCAAAAAAAAAAAAAAAGGACAAAGAGATCAAAAGTACCCATAACCCAGTTTCTCTCTATGATAACATCTTATTTTATAAATATAAGGCCAACTGACTCTAGAACCTGAGCTTTTCAAAGCTACTGTTGACAGCTGATAGAAAGTCTTTCTGCCTCCTTGGAGATTTTTAGAAATTCTTCGCCATCCTAATTTTTGAACATTGCAATGACTGGGGAGCATCGACAGCCTTTTTTGAGTTGAAGATCAGAGATGCCAGATGTCTCATAACACACACATAAAGAACTGTCTTGCCTAACATGGCCAATGTGTCCCATTGAGAACACTGAGCATTCTATTCTGCTTCTCTCAACAAACCAAAGAGATAAGGAGAAATGTGAAATGTTACAAAGAAATAAGTGGATAGTAAAAGACCACATGATAAATGTAAATCAATCATCATGCAAAAAACAAAATAAAACCAAAGTCTATTGTTCTATTGAAACATTGCGTACTTATTTCCATGAGTACTAGCTAGTTAGATTTCCCAGTACCTTTTAGCTTAGAAAGTTCCTGTTCTTTCTCTTGCTGCAGCTGCAGGTATTTCTGCTTATGGTCATTAAATGTCCTACTGAAGTCTTCTCCTTGTTTACGATGTTCCTCTTCCAAGTCGCTGTGCTGTTTCTTTAGCTCATCGTGTTGACTCTGCAAAGATGAGACCTTTGAGCAAAGATGTACATTCTCTAAATTACATCAGAGTCTATTTCTCGATAGCACAGCCTTTCTCTTGTTCGAAAGTAAGAACAAATGAAGAAGCAGGTTTCATTTTCCTCAAGTTGCTTTTAATTTGTGCAGCTTCCCTCTATTTTCCTTACATTCCAAATGAACAGTTTGGGATCAAGGACAAAAATAATTTTCTTCTAAATTTTTAACATCAATGGGAATAATGAGAAGTTAGAAGTTAGCATGAGAGATGGAAAAGAGAGAGATTTGGGGAAATTCTCAGGTACTCATTTTATTGTGGAAACAAGGTAAACTAATGGAAAAATTACCTCTCTGTGGATATTCTAGATTTCCTCTTTCAATCTGCTGTTTTCTTAACATTTTTGATTTCCTTTCTTTGACTTTCAGCCTTCCTGACAACCCAGTTTAAAGAAAAGAAAAAAAGACACTTCTCTTTTGGGGAAGTAATAAATCGATTGTTTATTAAATTATTCTTATTTATCTTATTGCTGATTATAATATTATGCTATAATCACAATGTAGATAAATTCTACAGTCTCCAAACACTTCATGTGAAAGGATGATCTGCCTTAATTTATGTATTGCTTTCTTGATCATAGAAAAGGGTCTGTTTTCAATAAAAAGTGTTTTCCTTACTGATACAAGAGGAAAGACAATACCAAGTGAAAAGCTGGGGTTTTGGAGGCGGGGAGATCATGGCACGGTTTTCCTGTGGAGCATGGCGTAATGGCACGCTGCTCATCTCCTCTATCTTGACAGAAATAATGAAGTATCTCTCTCTTGCTCTCTCTCATCTTCCTGATACACAATAATAAATTTTATCCAAGAACCAAGGAAGGAGAATCTTTAATTATAAGTTGTGTCCCTGTGGTGGGTAAGAGGACACATTAAATATTAGTAACACAAAGGAGGTATTTTAATAGTTCTACCACCTCCAGTGTGTCTAAAAATAAAGAAACCACTGTGAGAAATTAAACAAACAAACAAAAAGCCTTAAAGGATAAGATATCAAATTTAAAAATAATTTGACTAGAGAACCTGATTTATTAAAAAATGTATAATAAGCTAAAGATGTTCTTTGTAATCAGGTGATAAATAGGATAGTACATTACAATTATATATCATTGTTAGTCAAATATGACTTCAATATACCATATTATAATACAAATCCACTTTCTATAACTTTCCTTAATCACTTAAAGTTACTTAGCTAATCCTTTCATTCATTCATGAAGGATAACTTTAAATTACTTACTTTCAACATCTGATGTTGCACATTCAATGCACTGTATCTACTATTGGAATCTTGCTGTAAATTGAAAAAGAAAATAGTTAACACAAAGATAAAAATCTGGCTCTTTTGCTAAATACAACTTAAAACTCTTAACAGAAGAATTTCATTTATTTCACTTGTGTAAGCGAAAATGAATTCTACTCTTGAACTGGGATGTCTCTGAGGCCATTTCTTTATATAATAGCAGAAATAAAGTTTTAACATTCCCAGAAGTTTGCTAGATTTTAGTAATGAAAAAGAGGGCACAGAATCACAAAATAGCAGCTTGACAGGGCCCTTAGAGATGATTTACTTCCACTCTCATAGTCAGAAGAAGAACTGAGGCCCAGATACACGAAGGAGCTTGTCCTGAGACGCAGTATGGCATAGGGCGCTCCAAGAAGTAGGGCTAAACCAACAAGGACCAGGTCTCACAAGCTTAGCATGGCTTAAGGGAGGCAAGAAAAAAGGTGCTTTCCTTCCAACTGAGCTTCACTGGGTAAGTAATTTTACAGAAATTACTTTACTCCAGTGAGACTCCATTTCACAGAGTGAAAAATAGAAAGGATAGGAAACAGGCCAGAGGCCAACATTTCCTTTGGTAGCAGAACCAGGATTACAATTTGAGCCTAAGCCTAATACTGAATTCCATGTTCTAGTAGCAGATCACTGTGTCCCGGTGGGGCACCTTCACCTATGGACCTCACACATTTCCACCGCCCTGGGCAGCTATGACCGGTCAGTACACAGCACACCTGAAGGTTCTCTCCCCGTGCTGTGTTGTTCTATCTCACACGCCACACCCCTTGCTTATCCCATGGCCAGCACAAGTATACTCTCAATCATTGCTTTTTAATATTTTCACAACTTCTAAAATAAACTGCATTTTTTCTTCTTCACTTTATTTTATTGCTTTACTATTTTAATTTTTAAGGAAATTACATTATAAAATGTACAACAGAGCACACAAATCTTGGTCAGGGCTTTTAAAAGCAGCAAGTAAGAGTTGAAAGCTGATAGCTTCTGAGCTGTCCAAGAAACTGACTCTTCTCAGTTTTAATACCCCAAAACATCGATGTTTTATTCAACTAATGCTTACTTTTTTTAGCGTAAGAGAAAGACTTGCTTTTCTCTAGTTAATTTGGACTTAAATTTTGTTTAATGCCAATATCATTCATTCATTCATTCATTCCACAAATGTTTTTGAATGATGGCTCCAGGCCAGGTACTGTGTTACATGTTACACAATACTGTATGTACAAGTAGCAGTAATGTGCAAAGGCAAACCAAAATAAATATCACATTCTATAGAAAACAGAAACTGTAAGCAAATGAACAAATAAATGAATAAAAATTATCTGCTCTTTATTGTTAAGGCAATTCCCAATTTATTGTATCAATTATATTATTATCATAAGCAATGTTAGGATTTAAAATAATGTTTCTTTTTTAAGCCTTACTCTTGTAATTTTTTGGTAGCAAAAAAAAAAAAAAAAAAATTTAGCCTTACAATTCTAATGATCAACAGAGTAAAATATTTTACATTTCCTTCTCCTCTAAATTTCATTAAAAAATTTAAGAAAAAAAAACTTACCCTTCCTTTATTTAGTGTTTCTTGTGCTTCTAACTTATAAACAAGAAAATCTAGGAAAAAAAAAAAAATAAGGAACCAAAGTGTAAGTTAATTTATTGTGACATTTTAAACATCTAAAACGACAAAGGCAAACTTTACTCAGACTTACAAAAAAATGTTCTAAGTTTAAAACAATCTACTTGGTGACTTATATACTTTATTTTGCCTTTTAAAGTTTTAGAAACAGTTGGAAAAAACTATCATATAATTTTTCTCTTTACCTTAAAGCTGTAAATCTTGCATTGAAAATCCACCTTATCAGCAAGTGATTAAAAGGACATTTAGAATGTGTACTCTGTGATTAACATTCCTTGAAATTAAAAAAACACATCTAAATGATTTTTTGCTATCCACTAGATGGCACAATAAAATCATTTAGGACCTGAAAAGAATTCAAGCCATTGAAACCATCTTTAAGGCTCTTAAACTATACTATCCACTAGATGGCCCTATAAAATCACTGCATTTGAAGACAAGGAAAATTCAAATCCTATCAAAGCATTCTAATGTTGTTAAACTTCTATTCTTTACACAAGGGTCAGTAAAATGTCCTAACCAATAATGCTCTCCATTATTTCTTCTTCTACCCTCCAAGTTAATCAGATAGAACACCTAACTTAAATATCAAGATCTATCACAAAATGTGAATAAAACTATAAATTTAGATAACATTGAATCGCAAAATGTATAAAGCCTATGCTTTATTTAAAAAATTCTGATAAAAATCATACCTTGGCCTTATACCTGTGCTAAATGTTAATTTTTCAAACAACCAATTGGCTGTCCAATAAAAGCCTTCACAAGATAAAAACAGGTTCATAACTTAAAAGACATCACACAATGTGATCAATTTATCATGTTATAAACATGTATATATATGCATATATATTTCAAATTTGTCATATTCTAGACAATACATATTGTTACTTCCTAGATATCTGTATACAAAAGTTCCAAGTATTAGTAACGTGTATAATATTCAGATGAAAAGTTGTTTATTTCTGAAATAATATGTGTAGTCAATATATGAACTACTTCCAGATGACACCAACTGAATGAAAGATTCTAAATCCAGTCTTAAGTGGGAATTATTTTATTGTGGTATGCATAGCAGATTGCTTGGTATCTCTTTCTCTGTCCACCTATAAAACTGACTTTATGTTGATCTGAGAAATTTCTTAGCAAACAATAGTAAAGAAAATACATGATGCTTCAAATAAGGATATGACAATAACACAAATTATTTATTTACCTTCCTTTGCTTTCTTATGTTCAAGTCTTTCCTTTTGCAAGGATTTCTCTAATCTTGATCTGTGTTCATACACAACTAGAAAAAAAAAAGAGTTAAAATTTGTCTTCAAAGAATTAGAAATTCTTAAACAAAGTTAACATCAATTTTCAAAACAGGAGGAAATCAGAGTCTTTTTGTAATGAAAATAAAATATGTATTTACAAGTTCCACATTCTGGGGATAAAACAAACAATAAGCTACATAATTCAGGGCTGACTGACTTCTTCTATACAGTTTGCCCCTTTATAGAACCAAAACTCTGGAAGAGGCTGCCATCTTCTTTGCCAGCTCCTTTTCCTTCTCCTGCTTCTTAAATGAGAGCATCTCTATGAGGGTCTACGTCTCTTCCTGGGCAACCACATTCACTCCTATGATTTCAACTATCATCTGCATAGCTTTTACCTCCCATGTGTGTATATTTCTAGCCCTAGCCTCTCTTAGGCACTAGAAGAGCATTTCCTAAAGCCTACTGGGTGTTTCCACCTACATATCCCGTGAGTCCTGCCAAGTCAACATGATCTGAATCTGAATTAAGGCTGAGTGTGTTGGTGAGAACACCTCAGCAACAAACCACTGGAATGAAGAAGATGTGTATTTCCCACATCAAGAAAAACATAGGTGAGAGAGCCACAGAAATGAAGGAGGGAGAGGCACATTCCAAAAAAACCTACAGAAGTGCCTACAAAAGAACAGGTTGGGTTAGCATCTGCCATAGCCACGCTTTAAGATCTATCTTCCTGCACTTTATCATCATTATTCAGTCTACTCTGAAGAAGCCGGAATCACCCAGTGAGTCAGAGAGGAAGAGCAGATGCGTTAGGGGGAAATAGGGAGAAGAGGCCTATCAGAACTCTCTTCCCCATTAGAAGCTTCATGTCTATAGCAAACATGAGCTGCAGAAGAGGGAGAAGCTCGACCTCTGAATAAAAAAAAATACGTATTATTATACTGGACTGGACCAGACATGGTACCTACTAAACCAAGACTGTGTTTATGGATAAAGGTTATTAAAAGTTTTTTTTTTTAATTGAATAAAATTGACATGTAAGCTTGTGTAAGTTTAAGGTAGTTAATACATTTATATATTGTAATATAATTGCTGATGTAGCCATATTTATCACATTACATGATTGTAATACAAGAAGGGGTTTTTTTTTGTTGTTGTTGTTGTTTTTTCTCTGAAAGAGGTCTGTTTTACATTTCATCCAGGGAAAGAAAACGCAGCCCCACAGAGTGGTTTTACGGGCAATGAAGGGAAAGGAGGAGAGAATAAAGTAAATTTCTCATGTAGCCCTTGAATCCTGTTTGTTCAGCATTATGGTCACATATGATCTCATTCCCTGGCAAGCTAAGCCAAACCTGTCATCTATTTGTTTCATCAAACAAATAGATGTCCCTAGCTCCCCACGCTTGCCTTAGACACAATTTAATCATCAATCACTGACTGACCATGCACAGCATACACAACTGTCCAACATGACTGGCCATCAAAAGTGCCATAGCCACAGCAACTCCCCTCCCACACACCTGCAACAACCCCTTGCTGCACAAGGAATTCCTTGTGCCTCTTCCCGCCCTTTCCTCACTGTCACAGCTGCCAGCTACTGCTGTCCAACTTCCAGTATGGCCATAATCTCCTAGGTCCCCCACCTTCCCACACTACATCTCTTGTCTTGTCATCCTATATAAACCTTCCATTCCTGGGGCTCCATCTATGACTACCATAGCCCCTAATTCTTCTACTCACACCTCTGCTAACATCTGTCTGAAACTTCTAGAATGCCTGCCACCACCCAAACTAGTATGGTGTCATCCCTGAGAGCATGCCAGCCCCAATCTCATCTTTTCCCTCATCCTCAGCTTCCCATTAGTCATACCATGATCCTTGCCAACCCCTTTCTCCACCCAGGCTCCTATTCTATTCCCTAGATGACCCCATTCCCCCAGGGCTATTACTGTAAAAGAATCCGATACAATTCTGTGTTTACTAAGCACCTACTATGTACCTGGCACCAGCTTACCAGTAGAAATGCAAAATGAATAGACATGGCCCTTGGCCTAAAGAAGCTCAAGTCTAAAATGGGAAATAGGTTAGGTAATTTGTAAATAATTAGAGATGAATACATTTGGCATAATAAAAGTATATTTAAGCCCAAGGAAAGACAGAGATGAACTCTGGATGAAAAAGGGGTAAGGGAAGACCTCAGAGGTGGTGATTTCTTGGTTGGCTTTGAGAGTGAGGAGCAATTTGGTAGACAGGGGTACCACAGGAGGAAGGTACTTCTGGAGGACATCACAGGGACAAAGGCACAGAGGTATGAAACTCCACTTTAGGAGCTGTACTCCAAAAAGCTTTGTTGCAAGTCCATGTTGAAAATCACATTTGTTCAAACATATCTGTATGGTATTTAAGTCCCTTGGCTAATTTCTAAAAGCCTATTAAGACCAAGAGGTTCTTTGGATTGGTTCTAACAGTACCATCTTGAATGTCTGGAATGAAGCAGGGAAAACAAAGATAAGCACTATTTCATAACTACACTAAAGCCAAGCCCTGAACTGCATGCTCATCGTCTTTGAGAATTTCAGTCAGGTAGGGGAAACTTGCAGGGAAATAGATAAATTACAATGCTATCGTGATATAACAGAGGCAGGAATGGGGTGCCACAAGAACAACTAAGTTCCCTGGCTAGAAGGAAAAACACCCACTCATCTCCAGTCCACTAGCCAAAGTTCCCACGGTGTGGGTAGGACATAGGAACATAAACATGCCACTTAAAAGGGAATCTTGGTGCACTAATCGGACATATTATAGACGATTTCAGCCAGCAATGTGCATCACTTTCAAAAAAAGCAACAGGCAAAATAGTCGAGATCTTGCTCCAGTGGAACTGAGGTCGCTGCAAGGGGTCCTGAGGATGTCAGGACCATTAGGGGGAAACAATTACAGCCTAGAAACACCCATGATTAAGACAAACAACAAACGAGCAAACAAACAAACTGCATCACGGTCAAGAAGATGTATATGAGGGGACTACTCGTCACCCATCCCCAGTGACCTCAGACTCTAGATATTAAACATTGTTGTGGAAAGGTAAGGATAGAGGGAAAAGGTGTATCTACAAATTACAATCATTAATAATATACAGCAGCAATCACTGTAAACTCACTGTTGTAAACTCACTGTTGTAAACTCAGTGCTGTATGGGACTCGGTAATCAGGTAATAATTATCTTTGGCCTGGGAAGCAGAAAATTCGTCAGGGTGCTTTCATCTTCAATAAGAGTAAAGTGTCCAGTAGATTAGTCCAAGTAGAGAGAGCATGTGGGGGATAGGGTGAGCAGCACTGGGTGTGGGAGGGTGGGAGATGGTGCTCCATTCTTTCTTATTCTCTTCCCTGAAATGCAGTCAGGAAATGTGCCAACAGCTGGTCCATAGTGTCCATTTATCATACTGAATCGCAAAACTGTCTTTGACAGCTTTACGCTCAATGAGAATTTACACATTCAGCATATTAATAGTAGTGTGTCTCAAGAGCTGAGAGATCATAGAATGTACAGTTATGAACTTCCACAAATCACTAGAATAGATGCTATATGATGTCCACAAAGATGCAAACATGTTTGTGGATGACAGTCCAAATGCAAAGGTCTTGGGAAATCTGAGACATATTCATGAATATATTAAATGGCATCAATAACAGCAACAGCTAAGGCAAGAATGAATTTTGCAAATGCAGTAAAAAACAAGATGTAGTAAACAGAAATGGAGGATATATGTAGAAACCATGAGGTAACTGTACTATTAAATTACTCAGAACTGGTCAAGCCATTATTACAGCATCAGCTTCTAGTCCTGATGTAATATAACTTAAGGATGCAGAAATGGCTTGAAAGTTGGAGACAATCACCAAGGAGGAATGTGAAAGGGCAGCAGTGACTGGTGGGAGGTTGAAGTGCTTGTCTTCATCAGTGCTTTGTCAGGAAAAGGAAAACCGAAAAGCAGTCCTGAATTGGAAGGTGAGGAAACCACGTTAGGTAAATGAACATGAGAGTGAAAATTAATCCATGGAATTGAAAATTCTAGAAAGAAAGGGAAAGCAGGTGGTAACATGATGGTTGAGAGTACAGACTGGTGTCTGAGTTCAAACCCCAGATTCATCTCTTAAGAGGCAAGTTGCTGAACTTCTTTGTACTTCAGTTTCCTTATATGGTATGTGGGGATAATGACAGTTCCTATCTCTTTGGGTGGATGTCAGGGTTCAATGAGTTAATGTATGTCAAACGCTTAAAACATTGTCTGGCATGAAGTAAATTCTACAAAAATACTAAAACATTTTTTTCATCTATGTGCTATGATGACATAAGTAGCAGAGAAGCAATTAAGAGAGTCCTTTCAACACTACAATTAAAGTCTAATAATAACAAAGTAAAAATATATAGAGATATGTGTATACATATGTGTATATGTATATATACACATATGTGTGTGTGTGTGTATCTTTTGAAAAGGTATAAGATCTTGATTTGTTTGCTTTCACTAAAAAAAAAAAAAATCCCTTTTTTTAAAAAAGCAAATAATCATTCCAACAGCTTGGTAGAACTCATAAGCTAATTTTTTGATAAGAATTGAAGGACAGTAAAACAGATCAGATACAATCTTTGTGTCCTTGTAGCTCTTCTAGAAAATTTCCCTATCAATTAAACACACACACACACACACACACACACACACACACACACAACTACCCTTAATTCTTTTAAAATGCATTCTCCAGGCTTTTGAGCTAGTGATTTATCTAGATAGGTTTACTGTTTTGCTTAGAAGGAGGATTGCTAATCAATCCTTGTCACTTATCTCTATTTTTCTATTTATACTCTCAAGTCAAGGGCATCAGTCAAGATGAACTAATACTACAAGAACCTTTGCAACAAAAAATAGTATATAATGAATAAATTTCACAATACCAAACCAGGTTAAAGAAAAATATGTAAAAATAAATAAATAAATAATGGTGGTTCAATCTCGGCATTTAAAAT